AGAGAATTACCTTGTGCTTTGGTCGTTACTCACTTGTTCGTGTGTGTGCATATATGATCGAATCAATAATTTGATCAACATTTTGAGGCTCATTTAATTTATCATGTGTACTACATATGGGGTCTCGTCTAGAATATGATGTACTTGTGTGTCCTAGCTCGAGGGTAATTAGTATTCTGTTGGTAAAGACTAAAGAAGGTAACATTGAAAATTTATTAAATTATGACGCACAACAAAGGGGTTTAATTGCAACAATAGGGATGTAAGGCTAATCTAACCATTAGACTGACATATTATTTTTATTGTGCATATTTTTAATAAAAATGTCATACTTTAAATAACAACATCCTCTCATGCGTATTAGAGCCACACTTCGATCGACTCGCTCTCGGATCTTGTATATCTTCCGCGAGCAGAACCTTCCTTGCTAGCATCGGGTCATCCACCCCTCAGAGGCGCATTCTTTACCTGACGATATTCCTCTCCGTCTCCGTACCCTTATACGGATGGACCAAATGGGATACCTTTCATTCGTATTTGTGTAGTCAGTCCTATAACTTTTGGCGCATCTTCTCTCTCGTGATGCTGACTTTTTTGCCTGGACTCTTCTCAGACCTGGATCTGTTATCTTTGTATTACTTGTTGCTATTGTCAGCTTTTTCTTGTATATTTTCTTGCTTTTTGTTTTATTTTCATTTTGTATTTCGTTTGGCTTGATGTATATCAGACATTGGAGTTGTAGTCTTGTGACTTTTCAAACCCTTTAGGGCCTTCGTATATACAGGTTGGGGTCGAGCCTTTACCCCACACCCTTCTGGGGTGTTGTTTTTGCTAAAAAAAATGATGGCTTTATGTCATCTAGGAGTGTAAGGAAGTGACACGCGTCTCCACGCAAAAATGATGGGACCGACTGGTCGATCACATTTATCAGTTTGTTTTGTTGGTTCATGTTCATATTGCAGAGAGATTGGCGATCTTTTGGGAGGAAGGAATATAAATATGAGCACCCAAGTGTGGATATGGATCGACACAGCTTCGACAACACGACTCCTTGGGCTATTTTCGCAGTCTTCACTTTCGATCATAAATGGGCTCAAATGTTGTATTTGCGGGCTTAGACTATGTTTGGTAAACTAATAAGCTAGCTTATAGCTTATTTGGTTAGCTTATAAACTTTCTGTATTCAAAATAAGCTCGTTGAAATTTTTATTTCAACTAGCTTATCAGCTAATTTTACGAAACACTTTTTATCATATAAGCTACCTTTTTCAGCTATAAGTCATAAGCTATAAGCTATAAAGCTCGAAAATTACTGATAAACTATAAGCTAGCTTATCAGCTATCAATTAGTTTTACCAAACATAACTTTAGTGGGTCGACCCAGAACATAGGTGACGTTTTACGTATAAGAAATTATAATATATTCAAATAATATGACAGATCGAATTACATACACAAGAACTCACATAACTATACAATAGTACTATTATTATTCTCATTGACTCAGGTTATTATAAATTAATTTAATTTTAACATTGTATGTATGAGCATCATGTATAGTCATGATCAGGACGCCTTTAACTAGAGGCAACGCTTAAATTTCTTTAAATAGCTTGCAAATCGAAGCATTTATTAAATTACACTTATTGAGAGGTTCTTGTTGAGGAAATACAGCCTTGATATTAATTTCTTTTTTTCTTAATTATGGTCTTCTTTTGTACATAATTATTCTTATATATATAAAAAAAAAATATATATATATATATATATTTAATTTTTCGTATAGTTCATGGGCTAGACTGTACGAGTAGGTTTACGCATCAAAATACTCTCATATAATGGTCAAAACTACAGAAAAATAGAAAATTGAAAACAAGAATATATGCATGTATAGATGTTACTATAGGGCCAGGGGGGCCTATATAAGAAGATATAGATGAGATATACGTACAGGCAGATGTGATATATGGTGTCACGCGCATGTCACGTGATTGGACCTTTTAGAAGTTTTGAGTCTATCCAACTTTTAAATTTTGTCCGGTAAATGGAAAGTGGTCCTGCGGCCGGCGGCCAAAGCTAGCTTTCTCCGCCGCTTTGCCCATTTTTTTCCACCACCACCACCGATCCTCGACCACCACCACCACCACCCTATGGCTGACGTCAACCTAAATAATTTCGTGGCCTTTTATTCTCGATAATGATATCAAGGAAAAAAAAAAAAAAAAGGAACAATGTGTGCTATGGCGCACGTTGATAAACTCTACCCATGCTAAAGTTTTGTGACTAATTCAGAAATTTTGTTAGTTATTTTCCATCACTTCTTGTGCGAAAAATAAATACTTCCATTTTATTTGGCTCCAAAATTTTCGGCTCTACTTTATATTTGCACTTGATTGAATGAATTATGCATACCTTAGTGAAATAAATTCGATTTTGTGGATAGGTCTTATGATATTTACTTTTTAGTATTAATGAAGTAGGAAGTTAAATAAGCATTAGTATAAAAAAAAAAAAAAATCTGCAACTTAATGTGGTACATGTATACTAGTATTCGATCATGTGCAAATATACAAGGGGAAACAAAAATTTATGTATATATGTACATATATGATAAACTTAAATTAGATGTGTATTACATTTAAAAATTTTGACTATAAGTAAATGTATAATATAAATTATTTTAATTTCTATATAAATCATTTTTTTTAAAGCTGTGAAAAATGCGAAATTTAGTTGTGAAATAATTTAATATTATATATTAAAAAAATAAATGTGAAAAATGGGAATTTTAGTTGTGAAATAATTTAATGTTATA